TGCAGTGCAGTAGGCACTACAGAACTGCAACTCACCAACCTGCTCCGGTAAAAACCTGAGGCAAGGATGGCATGTCCCAGCCTCCCTTGAGACTAGCCTGACTGTTCTATAGGTAGACTGTTATATGAGATAGAAGACATGGGTGTATCTTCCAGATAAGATCCTTTAAAAGGTGTGGGCCATCAATATCTTCCAGAGAAATCTGTCTTTCCACTTTGTATTTCCTGCTTTGTGGCACTGAAGCTCATGTGACCTGAGGCAGAGCCGTGGGCGACTGGAGGGTGGTGGCAGTTGAGGCCACCACCTAAGCCAACAACCTAGTGTCTCCACGGTGGTATTAGTGGCTTTATAGAGGCCTTTATATCCCTGCTAGTGGGCCTGCTCTGTCTTACCCAGTGGCCTCTGTCACATTATGACAGGGCAGGAAGCTGGTACCAGATGCTGAAAAGATAGCCATACCACTTTTAGGGTTCGGACGACCTCAGATAGTCCAGGCTATCCTTGATCTTACTATGAAGATAACCTTCAACTTCTGACTCTTGGTTGTGTACTACCACGAGCAGTTTATTAAACCTTGCTTCATAAATGACAGAAAATGAACTAAAGCATCTCGTTTTGTTTTCCTTGAAGACAAAAACAAGACAGCTGGAGATCCAGCATCCACACCTGATTGGTCATAAGGTAACCTGACGAACATTCTATGTACCGGGATATATGTATGAAATTAGGTCAACTTCAACTTTTACCTGTCTACTCAGAGTGGAGCCTGTAACTACCTTGCTATGGCTACTAGGACCAGAACATTCGTCTTCCTGGAGAGACCAGAGCCAAAGTCCTGGTGGCCTGGGGACTGCACTGTGCTAGTCCTTTCTAGACTTCTGTTACATAAAAGACAACAATGCTTTTATGACCCTGTCATTCCCAGTGACGCTAATCCTGACAAGACAGCTCAGTTATTTACTAAGGAGAGTCCTGAGGGATGAGAGGACGACTCATCAATGGAGGCCATTCACTGGAGTTCCTCAAGTGACAATCCGCAAATGACGAGGAACCCAAGCTTTGTGAGAATCTTAAAGCAAGAAAGAGCCCCCCCCCAAGTCATTAAATATTACATGCTGTTCACAACTGAAACCTAAAGAGACTGATACAAAACCACATGATGTGAGGGACCACCTCCTGAGGGGCTCTGGATGATGGGAGCTCACAGGGGATCCTCACAACTCCAGATGTAGAATACTGCTGCACGGCCCTGCAGAAAATCTGAAGCTGAAATGCTCCAAAGTGCAAAGTTCCAGGTATCGTATCACATGGATGCAAAGAGCCCAACAGGAGAAGCTGGCATGTAACACGTCAGGTCCCAGGGCATCTAGACGAGGGATACTCAGTCTGCAGCGGGAGGGCAGGTGTTGCCAGGCGCTGACCTTCTGCAGTCACCACCTGGTGAAAAGCTCTGCCACCCGGAAGCTCCTCCAGCCTGAGGTTCCTGAACTCAGCCGCTGAGACTCCACCCAGCCCAGGTTACTTCAGGGCCTCAGACCATGTGGTCCATACATTGTTCCTTAAAAGGCAATGCTCTTAGAGAGCAGGTTGAACTCACTCCTAGGAGCGACAATGACCAGTAATAACCGGAAGCTGTTCTACGAGAAAGAAAAGAGAGCTGAGCCCCCAGCTTGGCTGCCTCCTTTCCAGTGAGGCTCAGCCTCCCTGGCCTCACCTGCTAAAGCTGGAGCACATTTTCTTCTTTAACGAAACAGTGGGGGTGACTCTGGCCCAGCTTTGGTGGAGTGGGTCCTGGCACGAGCACACAGCAGCTAGGAGGTAGGACTAACCCCAAGGGTGGGCACATGAGGGGCAAATGCCTGCGGTAGCTGTCTGCTAGTGGAGGAGGGGCAGCAGGAATTAGTGATGTCAAGGCAGGGCTGTGCCTCCATGATAGAGCAATTGCCTAGAGTGTGCTAGGCCCTGAGTTTGTCCGCCACCACCTTGTCATCACCACAGGAAGATAGGTTAAAGAAGTAAATACTATGTGTGAATGGGATCTTCCCGAAATAGAAAACTAAAGATAAATTAAAGGGCGAGAAAAACTAAAGAGAAATGGAAAAGGAGAGAATATTCACAGGCCTCAGGGGCAAGGTCCAGCATCAGCCAAGGAAGCTGCATTCTCCCGTTTCCCTCCATTCTCCTCAGGAGAGGCAGAAGAATACACAGGAGTGGTGAGCAGAGACGCTAACAGTTCAAATGTGTGTTCTTGCCTGGGGCTGTGGTAAGGGACTGTGTCATCCCAGCAGGACTGGTCTCTTCAGACCCTTCCTGCCTGCTGCTATTCCTCCCAGAAGTCCTCCATCTCCAACACTGCTCCTCACTAGGTTATGAGTGCCTCTGCATATGTATGAGTATATACACATGTGTATATGCCAGAGCTTAGGACGTGATCAACAGAGTCGATGAAAGACGCTAACGGGGGTGGGCAGGTGGTCCAGCAGTTACGACGGTCACTACACAAGAGTTCAAATCTCTAGCATCCACAGTAAAAGCTAGGCATAGTCAAACATATACCAGAAACCCCCACCAAGGGGAGGGAGGAATAGAGACAGAAAGACTGCTGGAACTTACTGGCTACCAGCCTAGCTCCAAGTTCAATGAAACATCCTATCTCAACAGAATAAGTCAGAGCGACAGAGCAGAATACCTTATGTCTCCATCTGGCCTCCACACACCCAGCATCGTGTGCATATGCTGTACAACCAACACACAAGGACTCAACAAATATTTACTGCCCACCCCCCAAGTGCCAGGTGCTAGGAGCAGAACAGTGGATACCCTGTCCCTCTGAAGCTTCAGATCTCGGGGGCTGGGAGCACCCCAGGGACCTAGCAGGAAGTGCACATGCTGTAGAGGAGGCCAAGGTGAGGACCGATAGGGGTGTTGGAACACAGAAGAGTGAAGGGGCAAGCTATGAGGCTAGCAGGAGGAAGGACAGTGTGCCCACCACAGAGAATGGGGTTAGCAGAATGGCAACCAGGCTGGAAGAGATTGGGGCTCTTTGAATGTGTTAGTTTTGGTCCAGTACAGAGGGCCTTCCTGCAGAGGGCCATGGAGACAGAATGGAGATGGCAGAAGGTGGCTGGCTCTAAGGGCAGGTGGGTCAGAGCTCTGGCCAAACCCAGGGGTTTGCCTCCATGAAGAAGCCCACAATGAGAAAAGCATGGACGAAGTGGATAGAAGCTGTGTGGGGAGGGATATGAGGGATGACCAGAGGACAGTCTCTGTCTGAGCATATACCTGAGAAAGGGAGAAACAAACCAAGAGCACACAAGCATCTCATCCTGCTGGGGCTGGCTGCAGGTGAGAATGGGGTGGCCAGCCCTGGCACTCCCAGGGTGCAGAGGAGTGGGTCAGTCCCAGGTCAGCAGGGCAGTTGTCCGCTCCCTCCACGTGGGACAGCCTGCCACCCACTGTGTTCCCCGTCTCCTCGAAGGGCTGTTTGTTATCCCCAAATCTATCCCTCATTTGCCCTAGCCAAAATAGCTAGCTGGGTGTGAGGGCACATGCCTTTAACTCCAGCACATCAGAGGTAGATGGATCTTTGAGCCTGGTCTACATAGTGAGTTCTAGGCCACTCAGTGCTACACTGAGAAACCCTGTCTCAACTCTCACTCCACAGCCCCATCCCCCACCCCAAATTACCAGACAGCTGAACACAGTTCTAAAGGTGAAAGCCTTATTTTCAGCACACAGCCCACACCTGCCACTCTTCCCTACATGGGCACCTGGGTGCTCCCGAGAGGTCAAGCAAGCCTCCACAGATGGTGGCCCCAACTCATGGGGCAGAGGACAGGGAGCAGAAAGCAAGCCAGGTCTGTGCCCCAGCCACGCTCAACTTCACCAGTTACTTCTGAATCAGTGACTCTGGCCACAGTACCCTGCTGCGCCCACACCCGGCCAGTCCTCACCTACCCTCCCACAGAGCAAAGGGAGCCAGCATCACTGATCCACTGAGATCCACTGCTCAGACCCACACAACCCTGTTCATGAACATTCTAACTGAGACTGACTAAAAGACCTATGGGGAAAGGAATTCAATATGAGGCAAACCAGAAGCAGTTTGTCACTGACAATCTCCTCAGCCACTGACTAGAAGGTTGGTGGTTCTGACAACTGTGTGTCTGCAACTGCTCAATGCTCACTGTAAAACAGCCAAATGCAGCACAAGGTGGCACACTGGCAGCATCCCCTTCTCCTGAGCACTGTGGAAAGCTTGTGAGTCAGGACCCCAAGGACAGGACAGAACAGGTGACACACAGGCAAGGGGCAGAAGAGTGCTTCCACTGGGCCAGTTGGAACCAGGGAGGACAGTGGCCTTCATAGCAGCATGGCCAGAGGCCAGCCGAGAGCATTGTTACCCAGGAACATGAAACTGGCCAGATGATACCCAGAGGCGTGAGCAGTTGCTGGGATGAAGGTTGGGTCAGATCAGAACCACAGCAGGGGAAAAGCAAAGCTAAAAAGGGAATACCATCAGCCAAGCGTGTGTGGTGCTCGTCTTTAATTCCAGCACTTGGGAGGCAGAGGCAAGCGGATCTCTGAGTTTGGGGTCAGCCTCATCTATGCAGTGAGTTCCAGCACAGCCAAGGCTGTATAGACTCTGTCTCAAGGGGGACGGGGTGTGGGGAGTTGGGAATCTAACAAATTCTAAGCACCAACTACAGCAGATTCTGAAAGAACTACCAGTGGACCAGGCGGCACAGGGCACACCACACAATTGGACTCACTGTCTGCAGCCTGCACAGGGAGAGAAAAGCAGGTACGTGGTCTTCTAGCTAATGACGTTTCTTTATCCACAACATTCCCAAGAGCTCAAGGTTTAGAGAGGCCTCTGCTGGCGACACCTCACTTGAGAAGGCAGCTAGGTGTTACACAGGCAGGTCGGCAACCCTTACCTCCCGAGCCGTAAGGTGGGGTAATCGTTATGTGCTGGGCCCATTTCACCCATTCCTTACCCTGCCATGGTATTAGCCTTCTTTTGCTGTGACAGAGGACTTGAGAAAATCAACCTAAAGAAAGGAAACAATTCTTTAGCTCATGGTTTCCAAGGTCTGAGTTTACAACCACTCAGCCCCAACACTCTGGGCCTGTGGTGCCTCAAGACATCAAAGCCTGTGATGAATAGATGAATTCTGTTTAGCACATGGTAGATAGCAAGCAAAAGGGCCAGCACATCCCCAGTGGCCTAATTCCCTACTACTGTTACTGAGCCTCCCCCCCAAGTTCCACCACCTCCAGTGGGTGATGAAGCCTTTTAACATTTGGTGTTTAACATTGGGGTTAACACTCAGAAATCCAAAATACAACGCATGGCCAGACACTGCCCTTCCTCTGTGGGACCTCAAAGAGCTGAGGACAAGTAGATCTCAGAACACCCCAAGGTGCTCAGGTAGGACCTGTCACTCGCCTGAGCCCATCTACCTCTCCAGTGCAGTGCTGGCCAGCATCATCCCAGGGTTGAGACACTCCAAAGCACTGAGGGACAGGAAAGCCATCTCTGCGCTAGTCACCTAAACCCAGACCCAAGGAAAACACCTTCCAAGGTAGGTGTTCCTGGCTCCAGATGAGAGCCTCTCAATCAACCAGGCAACCAGCTCACACTCAGGTAGGCACAAGGTTCCTAGGGACATATTTTAAGGACATGCTCTCCACTGTAACATATTTATAATATACAATTAAAATCCTGAGACTCTTACATACTTCTGGCCAATGGAGGTGAGGGAGCCAGCCCTCCACCAGGCCAAATGCCACCTAATTTGAATAAGAAAAGTGACATTACCCCCAGGGCTGGAGTCTCACGAGGACGAGGTTAGCAACGGTGCCAACCCCAGCCTCTCCTCCTTGGCTTGAGCAAGAAATCCTGGAGTGGCCAAGCCAGGAAAGGCAGCTTGCTGCACTGGGCTGTCACTCCGTGCCCCTCAGGACCACCCTCCCATCATGTCCTACTGGTGTTTTTTGTCTCCATCCTGCTCAGGGTAGGCATATACCCCCTAAGCCCAGGACTGCAGTCATTTATGACATAGCCACCAACTGAGGACATCACACTACACAGGACAGCACAGCTGGCACCAGGTCACCAGATGACAACCTGTCCTGGTAACTAAGGCGTGAATCTGGGTTCCCCACATGTTTGGTTTTTCTTCACCATCTCCACACAAAGCTCACGTCCACACGCGTTACCACCATGGCAGTATGGGAAAGGGCGCCAAATGGATTAGCTCAAGGAAACTTCCACCCTCTGAGATAATACCTCCTGAACCTGAGCCAGCTGTCACCCAACTGGACCAGCTACAGCACACACAACGGTCCCAGACAACATGCTATGTAAGTGGGGACATGCTTCCCGGAGTAGCCGTTCCTTCACTGAACTGTGGTCACCGAATGACAGCTGGTTTCTAGTCTGAGACAGTCCTCAGAAAGTAACTATCACTTCATCCACAAAGGACAAGGTTCAATGACTTGAGTTTCATTTTTAAAAAAAAAAAGTGTTCTACACAAATTCCAGACTCAGACATGACTGTTCTTCCAAGAACAAGGAGCCAGTGGCCTTTGGAAAGAGCGGCCCAGGCTCTGGCTTTGGCTGCCGAGCCTGAGCATGTCTACACCGCTAGAACTGAAGGTGGCCGGCCTGAGTCTGGAGAGGACAGAAGGTCATCAAGCCTAGAGGGGACCCGCCAGAGCTCGAGGCAGAGGAGGGGACAGCTCAGTGTGAGGCAGTCCTTGGGCAAGTCCAGTGGCTTGGCCTGTCCCCACATCCTGTAGCAAGACACTCACTCACAGAGACCTCCTCTCATGTATGCCTGAGGGAAGACAGGACTGCCTGATGTTGGGTTTTCAGATAGGATCTCCTCACATAGCCTAAGTGGGTCTTGAACTCTGAGCCTTAGCCAGGTCTGCTATGCCTGGTTTAGGTGTGACATTATGGATTTTGATCATACCTGGATTTTTATTTTTATTGGTTATTTTATTTATTTATATTTCAAATGTTATCCCCTTTCCCAGTTTCCCCTCCGCACCTCTCCTATCCCATCCTCCCCCTGCTTCTATGAGGGTGCTCCCCCATCCATCTACCCACCCACCCCCACCTCATCGCCCTAGTATTCCCTTACACTGGGGCATCGAGCCTTCACAGGACCTGGATTTTTTTTTTTTTTTTAAAGACAAGGTCCAACTGTGTAGCCATGGTTGGCCTAGAGCTCACTATATAGACCAGGCTGGCCAAGAATCCACAGATTTGCCTGCCTCTGCCTCAGGGAATATTGGAATTAAAGGCCTGCATTGCTGTGCCCAGGAATAACTGGGATTTTTTTTAAAGATTCTGAAATCAGCAATATGTGCTTACAATTTCAACACTAGGAGAAGTGCCCCTGAAGGTCACATCCACCATGACTGCAGGCAGCTTCCTACCATACATCTGGGGTGCTCTATGCCTTTGTCTCCTGCCCCTAAGTATGAGGACACCAGCAGTAACAATGACAGCAGCTGTCAAGCCAGAGATAGTAGCACGTGCTTATAATCCCAGCTTTTGTCTCAGCCCTCGGGAGCTGGAGATGGAAGGGCCAGGAGTTCAAGGACATTGTCAGCTGTGAACTGAGTCTGAGAGCAGCATGTGTTACAGGAGACCCTCTCTAAACAAAAAAAGTAACCACCATTTAGTAATCATACATTACACATGATAAGCAGGAAGAGGTGTGTGTGTCCCAGTCTATCAGGGCTTTACAAAATGTTCACTGGGAGGTACCATGGCCAACATGGAGCTATATAAAAGAAAAAGGAGACACAGAAAGATCCAGTAATTTGCCTAAAGTCACACAGCATGGATGGACCAGCTGGAATCTGACCCCAGGAAGTCTACAACCAATACACTAAACAGTCTTCTGTAATTCTGTCTGCTACTATCTTAATCCAGAAACCACATAATGAGCAGTTACAGTTGTTGGCAAATTACAGATGAGAAGAAAGTGCCCAAGATGATTTTGTCCAGCGAGGCAGCTCCAGGGCCAGGAGTCCAGCAAGCCGTCTGACCCCTGCAGTCTGCACTTTCTCAATTGGTGGCACACTCGGAGGTCCAATCGGCCAGTGTGGGACTTCTGTACAGAGCAGATGACACTGCCTTCCCAGGGAGGACATGGAGAAGGGTGAACCAGATGCTGCAAGCCTGCTCTCTGCACCAGCCTGTCTTCCGTGCAGGAGGCTCATCCTAACACTGACACCTCAGTGACCTGCTGCCTTCCCGAGTCTGTCCGGCATGATGCTCTAAGTCCGATTCGCTACGTCTCTCACCTTCCCTAAGACGTCCTGATCCCAAATTTGACTAGCTCAAGGAAGGATGGGGGTTAGGAGATATTTGTAAAAACTACAGAAGAAAGAACAATGAGTTGAGACAGGAAAAAAACAAACAAACCAACCTCTCAGTGGAATGAGGCAGTAAGGCCTGAAGCAGGACCCAGTTCTGAGACTACTAGGCACTGCTACACACAGAACTCAGGGGGACTAGGAAAGGGTCACACTACAGGGTCTGCAGCCCACCATACATGGAAGACAGGCATAACCACAACAGATCCAGCCTTTTTTGGCAGAAGAGCTTCTTTTTGCCATCAGCAACTTCTTATCTTTCTGGGACAGACTATTCCTTACAGCCTGCTGACTGGAAGAATGCCCGAGAATCAAAAGCTATGCATTCAACGTTTCCCCGTGGGCCCCTTGTCTGTCGCTCACACACAGCACGTCCACTCACTGAGGACAGCAAGACACACATGTTTAGGACATCGTTCACTGAAGCAGGAATGCGTGATGGCCTGGCTCATGGACTGCCCCCAGGCCTAGCCTTTGCACACAACACAAGCATACTAACCACCCATAGCATGAGGAGCCCTGGACAGACACCTCTTAACAACAGTTTCAAATACACAGGGCGTTAGCAAGATGACTCAGTGGGTAAAGGTGCTTGTTGCCAAGCCTGACTGAGTTTTATTCCTAGGACCTGTGTGTGAACCGAAAGAAAGCAGTTCTCAGGGGGCAGTGGTAGCACAGGCCTTTAATTCCAGCACTAGGGAGGCAGAGGCAAGTGGATCTCTGTGAGTCTGATGCCAGCAGCCTGATCGTCAAACCAAGTCCAGGAATAGCTAGGGCTTGTTCTAAACCCTGTATCCAAACCAAAGAGAATATAGTTCTCTGGGGCTGGGTAGGGAAAACCAGGAAACACTGTAGACTTGTGGAGGCTCCAGACTGTTGCAGCTCCCTACCCAGGTCAGACAAACCCACACGTTCTTGCAGTGCAACAGACGGAGGCAGTGTCATCTGTGGTAGAGAATCTTCATAGTAGACTCCAGGCCCGGGTGCCATCCCCAGCACGCAAGAACAGTGAGTTTAATGACAGCGAATAAGACGATCTGACACTGCACTAGACACACATCCAACCACAGAGCCCCTCAAAGGACCTTTAGCCTATGGGAGCTGGGGAACAGGAAGACACCCCAGGGCGACTCCACAGCTGATGAGTGGCTTGCTGAACAATGAATGGAGGAAGGAGGGTTAGTATAGAAACCCAGCTCTGGCATCCACACCTGGTTCCTGGTCAATAATGAAGGGCAGGGACCTACTATGAAAAAACTCACCAGCCCCCACCCCAGGCTAGGAAAAGTGGATGAGAACGGCTCTGAGAATGTAGGGGTCAACAGGAGGCAGCAGATGAGGAGGTCCCAGACAGACACTTTTCCAGGAGATGCTGTCTGCAGCCCGGTGGCCCTGCACATGCAAGACCAGGGTCTGAGGGCTGTGTTTGGAGGTCCTGGGCCAGCAGGGGTGAGAAGGCCACTTCCTTGTGGCATTTACTGCAACATGGCAGCAGCAGGAAATCCAGGAGCAAACCCAGGAAAGTGTGATTAGTGAATCAGGTGCTGGCCACACAGACCTTTTCTTTCTTCCCACCTTCACAGACATTACTTCACCAAGCCCTCGGGTTCTTTCCTGACAGGTTCTCACAGGTAGGTCCTAAGTAGTTGAAGGG